CTGCTGATGATGATGCTGATGCTGATGCTGATGGTGATGATGGTGATGATGCTGATGCTGATGCTGACTTTCACGATACTTACGATGACGCCGACGATGAAGACGGTGATGAGGAACAGTAGCAGTGAACATCGAACGAGGAGGTCCTGCCATTGGAACATAGAAGAAGGATGACCAGGCTCTACTGGGCACCTGTGGTAGGATCGCGGGAAAATGCGGAGGAGGAGGAGACAAGGAGGAGGAGGAGCATAAGAAGAAGGCTGGACAGGGCAGGTCACGCGCCGGCCCCAACCGCGGGCGCCCGCGGCGGGCGCGGGGCGTTGACTAGCGGGAACAGCCGATGCTGCTGCTGCTGCTGAGGAGACAGAAAACAGCGAGATAGGGAGGCAGACGGAGGAGGGAGGAGAGAGGAGGGAGGAGGGAGGAGGGAGGAGGAGGAGGCGGAGGAGGAGGAGGAGGAGGAGGAGGAGGAGGAGGAGGAGGAGGAGGAGGAGGGAGGAGGAGGGGGAGGAGGAGGAGGAGGAGGAGGAGGAGAGGAGAGAGGGAGGGAGAGGAAGGGGAGATGGGGAGGACCAGGGAGTAGGGAGGAGGGAGGTGAGGGAGAGGCGAATGCCGAGGCGGAAAGTGGAGGCGGAGGCGGAGGCGGAGGCGGTGGCGGAGGAGAGGAGGAGGGTGGCGGAGGAGGAGGCGGTGGCGGAGGAGGAAGAGGAGGTGGAGGAGGAGGAGGCGGGAGGAGGAGGAGGAGGCGGAGGAGGAGGGGATCAGGAGGAGGAGGAGGCGGAGGAGGAGGAGGGGAGGAGGAGGAGGAGGAGGAGGAGGAGGAGGAGGAGGAGAGGAGGAGAGGAGCGAGGGAGCAGGGAGCAGGGAGGAGGGAGGAGGGAGGAGGGAGGGGGAGGAGGGAGAGAGAGGGGAGAGGGAGGAGAGGGAGGACGAAGAGGGAGGAGGGAGGAGGGAGGCGGAAGAGGAAGGAGAAAGGGATGAGGAGGAAGGAGGAAGGAGGCGAACAAGGAGGAGTGAGGAGGGAGGTGGGAGGAGCGAGAGGGAGGGAGGGAGGGAGGAGGGAGGAGGGAGGGAGGGAGAGGAAGGAGGGGGGAGGAGGAAGGAGGAGGGAGGAGGAGGAGGAGGAGGAGGAGGAGGCGGAGAGGAGGAGGAGGAGGAGGAGGAGGAGGAGGAGGGAGGAGGAGGAGGAAGAGGAAGAGGAGGAGGGGAGGAGCAGGAGGAGGAGGAAGAGGAGGAGTAGGAGGAAGTGGAGGAGGACGACGACGACAGACGACGACGGCGATGACAGCGGCGACGACGACGACGACCACGGGCGGCTTCGTAGCCATTTCGGGCCAGGCCCTGCCATGCTGACCCGTGGCGGCCGCGAGGCCTCGGCGCGCGCTCGCGGCATGCGGCCCCCGTGCCTGCCTGCCGCCAGCGGCTCGGGCCGTACCGGCATCCCCCGGGGCAACGGGGCCGGTCCGTTCTGGCCGCGTGCATCCCTCGCCATAGGGGAAGCGGGTCCCGACCCAGACCCCGTCGAGTCATGAAACAGTCACGACGAGTGTTTTTTCGCCATTTCGGGGCCCTCGGGGCCCTCCACGGGCCCCGGGACCGCCGGAAAACGGCTCAGGACGAAGAGCTGGTCCTGGGGGAAGGCCCTGGGGTCCAGGACCCGTTTCCCTCAGGACCCGTTTCCCCCATGCTAAGTCCCGAATTGAGGCTTGGAGTGGTCCTATGCTGGCAGAAGGTCTGCTGACCTCGAGGCCCCAAAGATCTCACTGGACGGTGCGTCGCCGGACGGCTTCTCAGGGGAGGGGCAGGTGCCGAAGCCGAGACGCGCCTCTCGCCGCCACAGTCGGGTTCGCCTCGAAGTCCTGGTCAGAGCGCGCCCCTGGAGAGGTCTCGGGAGCAGCGGCATCGGTACCGTTCTGTGTCGTGCGTCTGGGAGCGCTGGAGGCCCTGGGCGCCACGGACATCCTCGGGCACTTCTGGCCCACTGGACGGTGTGGTCACATCACCGTTTGTGGACCCCAGCAAAAGTAACCAGCCTCGAACTTATCCCTATCCCTAAGATGGGCCAGCAAAAAGCGAGGACAATCTTAGGGATAAGCCCTCAGAAACAGAGGGAATATTTAAGATCGGCATCGAGGTGAGGTGATGTCAAACATAGGGATAGGGATATGTTTCAAACTGGTAAAAAAAAAAGGGATCACCAGATCGCGCCGCACCGTGAATGCATCGACGATGGGGCGTGATCTGGACGTTCCGACTTGCCCCATCCCGACGTCGCAGATGCCACCGCGGATGCATCGGCCCCATATGTATTTTCAAGAGCCGCCGATCCGCAGAAGGTGGATGGACAAATGCCATTATGTTCGCTTCCCATACCTACCCCCGGCATGACATCCAGGAATGATGCCCAGGCGATCAGGTGGGAACAGGGACCTGTATACTTATGTGTGTATGCATCAATGTATGTAATTGTGTATATATGTATGTATGTATGCATGCATGC